ATATAATAGTTGCAGTGCCGCTCAGAGTTCAAAGACCTGAGAGGCACTGCCTTTGTGCCCGTCGCACTGAGACATAAGTTGAAAAGTCTCACGTGCTTGTGATTCCACCAGTACACCTACCCCACAAAACCGAAACGCAGTAATGTTCACATTACTGCTTAGCGGCTGGAAATAGGTACCTAAGAATTTGTCTGTATGAGTCATGTATGAGTACATAAAACCTAGGTTACCTGCACCTTTCTCTTAAACTGGCTTCCCACAGTCCTTGATTTTATTTTGGTTTGTGATGAGCTGCAGAGATGGATATGTTTGGCTGCCCCTTTAGCATGTGGCCCGGGCGTCTGTCGTGTGTGAAGCTAGTGCGTCTTAGCAGCGGTCTAGTTGAGGGCCTGAAGCGAATGAAACGAAGAGACGCACGGGACACGTGAGTTGCCCTTTAATTGGAAGCTATGTCCAGACGGCGTCGGGAAGTGAGCGTGCCTTACAGCTACGCCACCAATGAGAAGATTTAGTAGTGGCCTTAGAGTCGACGGCTTAGCGGTGGCAACCGCTAGTTGTGCAATGCGCAACGGGAAGTGAGCGTGCTTACAGCTGCTCCGGTACCTATCTGGAATATAGGCAGGGTACTACACGTGCACCCAGGACGGCTCTCTCGAGGTACTCGCCTCTCGAGAACCAGATGAAGTCAAGTGACAGAGGTCTGTGACAACCCTGTACACTGGCTGATCTGGGGTCAGAACCTGAACTTGTAAGGTTCCTGTGCGCGCACAGGTTAGAGTGCCCTTCTCGTATACCCTAAGGGTCGGAAGAGAGGGTCATTATAATCAAAACGAATGTCAAAAAAAGATGTGGGATCCGTGATTTTACCGATCGCCTCGGCCTCGCCAAGTTCGTAGTAAAAATTTACTAATTATATAATTACAAACCACAGCCGGGCTAAGCATCGGTCCATGCACTGCTACGGACGAGTCTGCGATACTGCAGACGAGTCTCGTGTGAGGTGACCGTTGAAAAATGCGGACTGTGGGAAACCTACTTTACACTAGATAATAATGAAAATAATAATGTGCCAAAAAAATCACATCTAATTGGACCTTACGTAAATAAAAATTAACAAATAAGTCAAAATTCACTGTTTATTTTTATGTAATTTATTAATATTTACGCGAGGTTTTCTAATAAAAAAATACTTTGCTGATTAATATTATTGAGTTCTAACGGCTTAGCGGCTATATTTAATAAAATGTTGCGAAATAATAAAAAATATCTCTCAAAAATCAGTCATCCGCACTACGAATGCTAATGTTTCTGTTCAGTTTCATTAATCCTCAAAGTTATAATTATTTAAATGTACAAAAATACTCTTAAAAATAAATATTGGATGCAATGACCATGATAAATAGATTTTCGCTGCTATTAATATATCTTTATTTTCAGTATGATTGAAAGATTTCGTCCAGAGAAGTATTGCCAACTTACCTATTTCTGCCTCTAAGTAATAATGAGCATTGAATGATTTTTAATGGAGTAATTTACTGCGTTCCGGTTTTGGAGGAAATTACAGGCACATGGGACTTATCAACTTATTTCTCAGGATGATGAGACTACTCATCATCTATCTATCTAATAATGTATGTTTTTGTGATTTGTCTCTGCATCTACTAATTATAATCGTTAGTTAAAATTGTCTGTTATTACTAACAAGTGGGCCTTGGATACCAAATAAATGATTTAATTATTTTTATTATTTATTTTACAGTCTCGCCTCTCCTAAGGCCTAAAAGATTATTTGGAATTTTGAAATGCGGGAGGCGGTATTCCCCGGCAATGGCACAGTCGACCGGGGTCAGGGACTCGGGTTTAAGAACCGGCGAACAATACGTGCTGTATCGCGCTGGAAGCCACATGCCACAGAAATCCAACTGCCTCAAGCTGGTAACAAGGCTGACTGGAATTAACCCATTTACGGGCAAAACAATTGGAATTATTTCAATTCAATAATATAACAATTAAATTATTATTATTAATACGAGCGAAATAGTCTTTCGCGTTTAGTTTCCGCTCAAATAGCTCTTTTTTGTTTTTTTACACGGAGATAAAGCGTTTTCTTACCGCCTTAATGCGACTCTGGGTCGTAACTCCCTAAGAGTACTTATCATAATTTCTAGCGGGTAATTTGTTTGTTTTGTTTATAAACTTTTACAATTATATTTCGCACTCTAGGTGTAAAATGGCCACAACTGTGAAATTACAATTTTTCAGAAGAGACGTTTAAAGGTTCTTCGAACAAAATTAGTCGATAACGAGGAGGGTCGTAAAATTTCACATATACATAATTTCTTTCATGTACACACATCAAAAGTGTCCAGGGTTCAACCACGTTCTGCAAATTACTGTAAATATTTTTTAATTAGTTTTTTTAAAATACCGATGGGTAGTTTTTCGTCAATTTTATAATTTGAATTTGAAAACAAAAAATCGTTTGGTGTTAAAAAAAATAATTCAACATTTTTTTTACGACGATGGTCACATGTGACTTTATTGTCATTATTTTATACAATTACCTATTTTTCACCTTCTACACCAGTATTCTTTTCAGTTTTTTTTATTCAAAGCAATAACTGGAACGAACGTAATACCTAGATAGCTACGATCCTTACTTTAGGAGCTTTTTTATATCCATTCTTATAAAACGTCCTGAATAAATACAGTAACTTTTTCTAAAAATTTTAAGCTTGATTGAATTCTATTACATTTATGAAATTGCCGTTTTTACGTTGTTGACGCAAATCGCGGAAAAAATATTCTTTTCCAAATGGTTCCACGTGTTTTGCCCGTAAAGAGTAATTTAAATATTTATTAATAGTCATCCTATTTTTGTAACAAACAATCTTAATACCTGATTTTAAAACAGGAAAGTTAAAAGTAAGTATAATTGGGCCATATAATCTACATGACTAACCTGTTTTATCACATCACACAATGAAATTAGAACCTACCTTAACAAATTGAAAAGAGTATAATTTCAATACAAAATGCTTTATTAAATTTGATACAATATAATTCGACGCTCAAGCTTCCTATTGCGTGTCGCTACGAATTCTGGTTGTCACAAAAAATCCATGCAAATAGGATTTCCATCCTAATGCCGGGCTTAGAAGGGCCAACGCTCCAAAACTTGGATTGTTATGTAACTGACTGTCCAATAATTGAAATGGTAAATCATATTGATGCTTGAAAATTCATATTATTATTATTCGGAATATTAAATAACTTATAAAATGTAGTTTCATTAAATTATAACATATTGATTGTGGAATCTGTACTTTAGATTATTCCAATGTAAAGTGTGGAGCCGGATTGTAGCGCCCCGCGTAGCCAGTGCCGCCGCGTCCACGTAGCAAGGTAGTCGTGCTACACGCTCGCTGAGTACCGAGTCTACACAAGTCGCGACTATATATGACTTGCGTGTTCTGTGACTAATCATTTGTGACTGTGCTGTGTTATTTACAATCATTAATTTTCGTGAGTTTTTTTAAGAATTCTTATTACGATTTGTGATTGTTTTCTTAAAGAATTAAAATTTTGTGATCGTAAAGGTGCTGCGTACCTTCATTAGTATGAGGTTTATTTCGTTTTATTCAAGCAGTAACGTTTTAACGTTTGAGGGTAATGGTCTGTTAAGATAGCGCACGGTGATTTTAGGCGGAGTTATTGTTAGCCTTTGTGGTAAAGTTCTATAGAATTTTTTACTTCTTGGGTATGTTGCGTTACTTACCTACTTTTAAACAACAAAATTCAAATAAATAAAATTGTAAAGTATATAATGCATGTACATTTTTTCTTTTTATAAATTATATTTATATGTTTAATACACTGATAGCAATTGTTATTTATTTCTACGAGTTATATTTAGTTTTACATGATGTATGTAAGGAAAAATGACACACTTGATGACATCTTATGAAGTCATGTTTTTTTTCTTAACCTAGTTTTGTCACTTATGCCCTTTAAAAATTAAATTTTTAGTCACTAACTAACAAACAAATTTAAATTTTTGCAAATTTTATAAAATGAACCTTACATGTATATGTAAATATTAAGTAAAAAAGGAAATAAATTTAACGTCATTATTTCGTATTATCATGAATCTGTGTCTAATTATAATATAGCGAGTTTCTGTAGTTTAATTATTTTGCAGACTTTTTAAATTAAAATAAGCAAATGTTGTTTTCCCGAATAACAGAAAATGGAAAAAAAATCGCTTTCCTATACAGATACCAGTTGTTCCTTCAATGAAAAAAAAAATTCCAAAAGAGATGGAAAGGAAGTTGTTTATTCCAATTATAGGAAAGCCATGGACGAGTACGTAGTTTCATTGGAGTCGATTGAAGAGGTATTAACGTCCAGTGAAATATATTTTGTTACGTTACGTGAAAAATATATAAAATAAAATATGTTTTGTTACATAAAAAATATTATAGTGACTAGGTTTAGAAAAGGGAATGTTTTAGTAGTTTAGTCATATGTAAAGGACGGACGTAAGGAGAATAATGATAAATATTTATTGAGCGTATATGGTTGGAAACGTGCGAAAGGTCGTCCTCAATTTTTTGTCAACAAGAATAAGGACGTCCTTAAAAATAAGGCCAGGTAAAAAGAAATAAGACAAAATGAGTGTGTATGTAGAGACTGATAAGAATGAAGAAGATTGAACAGAAAGATTGTTTGGAGCATAGAAAGTGGGATTCTATATTCGCGGCCTACTTCAGGGGGAACAAATTTTTTTATGATCCCAAGTCACAGAACGAACACTGATGGTAAGCGACTCGCCTACCCATAACAGTTGCAACGCAGACCTTAGAATCGCAAAGATCTGAGGTGTACCGTCACTACTCTCATCACCCTAAGACACAAGTTGACAAGTCCCATGTACCTGCAATTTCACCAGCACTCTTACTCTTCAAAACCGGAACGTAGTAACGGTCTTATTACCGTTTGGTGGCAGAAATAGGTAAGGTGACAAAACTTTCCTAGACTAACTCTTTCCCAAGGAGGTCTACTGCTACTAGATAATAGAATATGCGTGGTAAATGTCACATTACGTACATTACAATTATGTCGGTTTTATGAAGTTCGTACAGCACGGGTCCTTGTATTTTTCTTCATGTACTACTAACCAGTGGAGTATTTGTACATATATACAAATCCTTATAACAGTGCGTTGTCATAGCTTTAGGCTAGACTTAAAAAATATATTGCATTTTTTTTAAATAACTGTTCATATTTTTGTCGTATCGATACTTTCACTTCTACATCTGTTTCAGTTTTTCTTAACTATGTTGTTTTTTCTTTTGTTTTTCCAATGTATCCGTTGAGATCTTATCAGTCCTGTAGCACTTCTCTGTAGCCGAAAGCTAATTGGCCGTGGTAACAACGAGCACGTCTATTCCGTACGGTACTTATACGCGTTGTGCTATTGTCTCTTGGTTTTATTTTTGACAGCTGTTAATCTTCTTTTTGTCGAAGAAGGGCTACGAAACCCTTTTTACCCTTAGCTCTACTTTCCTACTTAAAAAGCCTATTTTCATTTCCAGCCCATGTAATCCTTCACATTACCTTGTCTTAACCAAATAATTAACATCCTTATTTACCCGATTTAAGGCACAAAATATAAGATCAAAACTACGTCCATTAAAAGCTCAATCCCTACTAGATAAGATAATGTGCCCTAAAACAACAACTTGAGACAAGGTTGAGACCGGTTTAATCCTGACTTGAGTGCACTTAGATCAATGGACTTAAGTTTTGTTAATAGTTAATTGTTAGATTTTAAACCTTTATTGAATGTGGTTTCTAAAGGGGAGTAAGTACAATTATTTAACCCCAGAAACGTTTTACATATGACACCGATTAGATTACACTAAAAAAATATATAAAATTTGGATTACTTCCATATTACAGCAGGTGACTATACTAAAACTATCTTGCATTATTTCATTAAACATGTTGGTTTATTTATATTATGATGATTTATTTAATAATCCGTTCTGGTAAAAAAAGTCAAGTGTAATATAAAAATTTAAACTGTCTGCTAAAACTTTAGTTATTTATAAACACGCCCAACTGCACAAACGTTAATTAACTTTAAAGCTCTATTAAGTAACAAGCTGTTTTATCTTTCGCTTTGATGTCGTAAAGACAGTAAAATGACACTTTGAATTTAAACGTAGGACCTTTTCTGTACAGAAGCCCCTCAGTAGGTATCGTTGCCCTATTTATACTGTCTGCAAAACAGCAGTATATTCGGAATTTAAGGGTTAAGAGAACCGGCGCAATCAGCACTTAAAATCTAAAGAAATTTTGAACATTATTTTTGGAAGTACTGTTTTATAAAATACAAGCTTTGGAGTTTTGCGGAATCACTATTACATTGCTAATCTATCTATTTAATTCTAATGTATTATCGAGTTCTTAGGTTTTCTAATGGATTATTTTAGATTATGGTGACCTCGCTCATCCGTTTTAACAGCCCCATATCTTTCTACATTAGTTTTGATTAAAGTGACCATCCTTACCGACCCTTAAGTATACAAGAAGGGCACTATAACCTGTGCCGGCACAGGAACCTTCTAAGTTCAAGTACTGACCCCAGATCAGCTAGTGTACAGGGTTGTCACAGATCATTATCATTGACCTTATCCGGTTCTCAAGAGGCTAGTGCCTCCGGTGAGCCATCCCGGGTACACGTACAGTACCCTATTTTCCAGATAGGTACTAGAGCTGAAGGCACGCACGCTTCCCGTTGCGCATTGCACAACCAGCGGTTGCTATCATCGACGCGAAGCGGTCGACTCTAAAGTTCACTACCAAATCTCCTCATTGGTGGCATTGCTATAAGGCAAGCGCAATACCCTACGTCGAAAAACGGCATCTCTTCAGTTCCTAACTAAGCGGCTGGAGAGTCTATATCAAGCTCATCCTCTACTAGCTCTCCGCGCCGAAGTTGCCTTTTACAATAGGAGATAGCTTCCGACTTAACGGGCAAGTCACGTGCCCCAAGCGCCTCCTCGCCTTAGGTCCTCTTCTAGACCGCTACTAAGACACACTAGCTGCGCACGCGACAGACGCCCCGGCAACACATCACTGGGGCAGACAAACATGTCCGTCTCTGCAGCGACTCCATACCCAAGACTGGGTTCAACAGAGACGCCCGTGAAGGTGTATCACTGGCGGAGGGCTATTCCCGGACGCCCGCTGTATCCCTGGTCTTGCCGGTGAGCCCGTAGTCTCTCCAGAATACCCTATCTCTCGGGTCGGTAGATAGGGACATTCGTTTTAACAGCTTAGATTATCATCATTAACTTCCTCAACCCACTAAACGTCACACAGCTGGGCACTGGTCTTCTTAAGGTTACGGTCATTGTCCGCCACGCTGATCCAATACGAGTTGGGGAATTCACGAAAGTTTGTACGGAGAACTAATAAAACTATTATCGAATTAGCATAGTGCAGTTGGCTACTCGAAGTACTTATTCTACGCAGACGAACCCGCGGGCACGAGCTAGTGGTGATGATGATAAAAGTTCACATCAAAGAAACAAAAAATCAAAAATATCTGAACTCAAAAGACTCCGTAGTTTGGACAGGAAAATAAGTATATGTTATTTTTCAGTTCAGTATTCAAAATTTCTTTAATTATTTATTCAATATTGTTTCAGTATTAATTTTATGTCAAAATGTAACGATTATCAACAGCTGTCAAATGCTTTCAAAACTTAATCAAAGCCCCTAAAGAAGTGGGTTTAATACGATTAATCATTGTTGATGGGGATTACGGTTGCTTTCATAAATTATTAATTTCCTTTAATGCTATCGTTTACTTAATTTGTTTTTGCTATGGAACTCTTGGGACTTCGATTATTAGGTCTGGTAGATACTTTGATTTGTTGTTCTTTGCTTCGTGACAAGAACTGTCGAGAAACGTGACATTTGGTTGTATGAAATATCAAATCTTGGTAAAAAAGATTTTGATAAAGTCGACTTTTAATATTCCTGTCCTCTCTATTGATTTTTATTTTAATTCCTACACTGTTGGTGGTCATTATTTGTGGAATTTATTCTGTCGAATTTATGTAACTTTTGTCTAATCGCCACTGTTCTAAATCCTTTGGAACTGAAGATAATTTTCGTAATAAAGATATAAATTATCTTTTTCTTGCGTAAAGTGATATAAATTTACAGGCACATTTCGTATTCTCAACTTCAATTTTAAGTGTAAATAAATCCTTCTTTAATCCATTTATTTAAGACATTGAGTTTAATTTTTTTTTGAATATCAAGTGACGGGACGAACAAGTCGTGCGCTTGAGGGTAAGCTACACGCCTGTCAACAGTTGCAGTGCCATTCGGAGCTTCGAATCACAAAGATCTGAGAGGTACTGCTACTGTGGCCGACACCTTGAAACATAAGTTGACAAGTCTCATGTGCCTATAATTTCACCAGCACCTTTACCCTTCAAAAG